AATATAATATGTTGGACAATAGTAATGAGTTATTATATACAGTTGATTAATTGTACAAATTAAATACGCAAGATCTTGAATCAATAATTGTTCCATTAACATACTATAAACGCATTTTTCAATGATTGTTTGCATCTGATAGGATTATATAGCACACTTAGTTACTTGTTATTAAATTTCAGAAGACAAATGTTATTGTTTAGTCCAGAATAATAGGCTCTGGTAATCGATTACAAGACTTGGTAATCGATTACAACGGTTTAGTTTCAAGTTGTAAAGTTTAAATTCAAATTTGAAATTTTCATCTTCTGGTAATTGATTACAAGAAATGGGTAACCGATTACCAGAGAACCTTTTAATAAGTAAATTTCGAACATATGATTTTCATTGTCTAGTAATCGATTACATGTATAGGTAATCGATTACCAGACTTTTAAAAACAATGGTTTCCTCAAATTTAGTCATCAACAGTTAGTGAGGGATTCATCCCATTTAGTGACGGATAAAATCTGTCGCAAATTGTGACGGAATTCAGGCGTCGCAAATTGTGACGGATTCTACTTAATTAAAGTCATCACAGTTTGTGACGGATTTAATCCCTCACAAATTGCAAGGGATTTAATCCCTCACAAATTGCGACGGATTTTTATTAATTTCTAAACATTTATTATTAGAAATTAGTGACGGAAATTATACTGTTTGATGCCTTAATTCCGTCACTAATTGTGAGGGAGAAAATAATCCGTCACTAAATATTTTGTGACGCCAAATTTTGTGACGGAATCATTTTCGTCACAAATTCCGTCACTAATTTGTGACGGATTTTATCAAAATTAGTGACGGATTTGTTCCCTCTCTAATTTTAATTTTTCTAGTAGTATATGCTGGTGTCATGGATTTTGAATACTATTGAACCAACTTTGCGTTCTACTATCTCCTATATGGAGAATGCAAAGGAGTTGTGGAACGATTTTCAGTTGTGAATGGTCCCAGAATTCAACAAATGAAATTAGAATTGGCTGAATGCAAACAAAACGGATTGGACATGGTGAATTATTATGGAAAGCTCAAAACCTTGTGGGATGAGTTAGCCAATTACCAGCAGATACCGACATGTATATGCAAAGGCTGCTCCTGTGATATTAAACACATCTTGAAAAACGAAGGGAGGAAGAAAAGGTGCACCAATTCCTAATGGGTCTTGATGACTCATTGTATGGTACAGTGCGCTCAAATTTACTTGCTGGTGATCCATTACCTTCGTTGAATCGCGTTTATGCGACTCTAGTGCAAGAGGAACAGATGAAGACAATTACTAGAGCCAAGGAAGAACGTGGAGCGGTCATGGGCTTGGCAATACAAACTGGTGCAGGGAAAAGAGGATGGGCTGATACAAAGGACAAATGAGCAGTATGTAAAAACTGTAATCGAACAGGTCACAAAGCCGAGTCTTGTTTCAAGCTGATAGGATATCCAGAATGGTGGGGAGATAGGCCACGAAATGTAGGGAATACCACTACTCGTGGAAAAGGAGCTGCAGGTCGTGGGAGAGGCATGAATATTCGTGCCAATGCTACCCAAACTACAAATGCAGGAACAAGCACTTTAATAACAGATGCAGACAAAGGTGGTTTGACAGGTTTGAGCAATGAACAGTGGAAGATGCTGACGAATATCCTAAATAGTCACAAGGAAAACACCAATGAAAGAATGACAAGTAAAGAGGCAACATGGATTATTGACACAGGAGCTTCCAATCATATGACAGGGAACTTGAGATCTTTGCATGAGATAAAAACTGTGCAAGGATGCCCTGTGGGATTACCCAATGAACAACAAACAATGGCAACTAATGAAGGGACAATCATTCTTGAAGGCGGATTGAAACTTGAAAATGTTTTATATGTGCCTAAATTAAATTGCAGTCTAATATTTGTGTCTCAACTGATAGATGCAACCAATTGTATAGTGCAATTCACTAATTCTCTGTGTTATGCAGGACTGCACTTCGAGGATGCTGATTGGTGTGGGTGAACGAAGAGATGGGCTGTACTACTTCAGAGGGATTCATCATGAAAATATTTTCAAAGTGAATGGAGTGTGTTCATTTGATCTTTGGCATAGACGCATGGGGCACCCCTCGATGGAAATTACACGACTGGTTTCCAATGTTAGTGGCAAATATAGTGAATTAGCAGATAAAGCATGTGATGTTTGTCATCGTTCAAAACAAACTAGAGATAATTTTCCTTTGAGTAATCATAAAGCTACTGCATCTTTTGAATTGATTCATTGTGATTTATGGGGCCCTTATCGAAATCCAGCTTCCTGTGGTGCTCATTATTTCCTAACTATAGTAGACGATTTTTCTCGTGCAACTTGGATTTATTTGTTACTTGATAAAAAGGAAGTTTCACAATCTTTGCTAAACTTCATGGCCTTGGTGGAAAGGCAATTCGGGAAGCAAGTAAAAATAATGCAGAGTGATAACGGAACGGAATTTATATGCCTAAATAATATTTTTCTTAATCGTGGGATTGTTTTTCAGACTTCATGTACAAGAACACCCCAACAAAATGGTCGAGTCGAAAGAAAACACAAACATATCCTCAATGTTGCACGTGCCTTGCGATTTCAAGGAGGCCTTCCCATCTCTTTCTAAGGAGAATGTGTATTGATAGCTGGATATTTGATAAATAGAACGCCAACATCTTTATTGCTGTATCTGGACCTTCGTATTCCTTGATTTTTGGATGGATTGAGGCTCAATAAATCCACATACTTGTACTTTTTCTTGCTCCACACTCAATTTGTCAATGTACCTAACATAATTAATTATTAAAAGTTAAATGTAATTATTGTAATTTTAGACTCATAAAAGAAAATATCACTTAAATGACCCATAATTGTATGATAGAAATATTTAACATGGAGTTTCCCCCAACAATCTCTAATACGTCAAGCAAGGATATGTATAGTGGAAAATTAGAGCTGTCAACTCCTAAAACTCTAATGTCCCACTGCAGTTGAATTGGTTTCTTCTTCAATTGTGGTAATATGGTTAGAAGCCTAGATATAGGATAATCCTCAGCTTCTACGATATTAGCATCATCAATAACAACTTCTCTTATGACCTCCTTACCATGATTGATAAAATCCTAAACAAATAATCAAAATTAGTTAAACAATAATAGAATTATAAGAATATAAAAGTGTAATAATAGAATTACCTTTTCTCGTGCTGAAAGTGGCCTCACTAAATGTTTTGGCCAAGCTAAGAATGTGTCTGTTGCCTGCCCAACTAGTTGAACCGATGTATTGGGCAAAGGCACTAGAGAAGCAACATCTTGAACTTGGTCAACCACAACCTGTGTCCAGTCTGGCTCTAGAGGGACACCATGGATGGTTGAGCCACCCTCAAATACTCGACCAATAGCCACTAACTGTGAGGGGTCATCCTCAACATATAACTCACACTGGTTTGGTACATCAGCGTGTGTATGTTCCCCTGAGGGATTTGCAGCAGCACAACTCCCTTTAGTACTGACTCGAACACCATCATTAGCAACTGCAGTCTGTTATTGAGAACGAGCCAAAAGCTCAAACTTCTGTTCAAACTCTTGTCGCATGTTATTCAATTTTTCTTTAAACTGCATTTGCATTCTCTACATAGGCTCCTGACTGCAAGAGTCAACAGTACTAATCCTCGGTGGTGGTGGACCAAAGTAATCTCAGTGACTCCAAGAACCACCAATACCATGCACACGCCTTGGGTGCTCTGGGCTTCCTACGGCCGTTATAAGTATATCATCCCGATCATAGGGAACAAATGAGTCCTAGGTGGTCTACTTAACTAAACCCTCCTACAACATATTAACAA